GAGCAACCAGCTTCCGTCTACAATTTAGCTCATTTTTGCAAAGTCACACTATTTTGTAAGTGATAGTACATACGGCTGTCCCCCAGCAGCCATTGACAGTGACCATGCATACATATGCTTTCCATGTGCTCTAACTAAGTGTCATCTGGCTACTTCTGAGGCATGTCTAAATCTTTGGCGGGCAGGCTTTAACTCAGTGCGAGACAGGTTTACTTTTGCTTTACGTGATCGCCTTGGCCGACGCAGTTGAGACAGCCTGGGAGAGCTTTAAGGCTTACCTCACGGAGATCCCTGCTCCTCACCACCACTCATTAGGGGACGGGTGACAAGGCCGAGGCCTCCTTTGATAGAGCAAACAGTTAAACACTTGCTCTAGAAGCGCTCTAAGTGCTGGCGGCTTCATCAGCCAACACCTACGGAAGCTATGGAGCGGTTGGAAATAAAAAAATAAAGCAAGCAACATTTTAGGTCTGCTTGTCTTTAGTACAAGATGGGTTTGGCTGACGCAACCGCAATAAATCCAAAAATTTTCTTTCCTTACGTAAAGAGATGCAGCTGTACGAACTCGTCTATACCAGCATCATCACTAGCCGACGGGAGCCGTGAACATACCGACCATGATAAGGCTTGTATACTTAACGAAGAGCATACTGGCGTTTTTCTCCTGTGACCTCTCTACTTAAGGTTGACTTGGTAACAAGAGTCCCGGAGACTTCTTGCCTAAATGAAATCAGCGTAACGGAGACACAAGTCCGGGCTAATGCAATTGCTAAATCCTTACAAATCTTCTGCTTTGATTCAATCCATCGGAAACTAATACATGAATTGGCGTGTGTACGATATCGCTCGACAGCTGTAGCTCATCTTTGGAATAGAAGGAAGCAATCATCTGTCCGATGTTTAGGGACGGTGCTAGCGCTCTGCCCGCGAACTACCGGTCCGTCAGCTTGACAAGCGTAGTAGTTAAGTTGTGTAAAATATTGGTCAGGAATGCGTTGCAGAATCATCTGACTAAGTATAACCTTCTCAGTGCGGCACACAACTGATTTCGTATAGGAGTTTCGTGTCGAAAAATTTGGTTGTAGCTCGTGAAAGCTGGGCTGAGGCAGTTGACAACGGTCACGTTATCGATCTGCTTTTTTTTACTTCTCGAAGGCCTTTGATTCTGTCCCAAATCAACAACTCTCATAAAACTTGCGATTGAATGGGACATCCGGAGCCTCCTCTTAATGGTTGTCTGCTTTCTTAAGGGGGATAGTACAATGTGTACGGGTGGGACGTCGCCATTTGCTTGGGCAAGCTCTTTTTAGGGGCGTTCCGTAGGGCTCGGTTTTAGGTCCGTTGCTTTTCGCAATTTATGTCAATGACCTACCCCAGGAGCTTGAAATACCATCGCCAATGTTTGTTACTGACCTCAGGCTCATGAATAATGTTCATCTCCCTGGGGAACTGAGTTATTTCAGGGTGGCTTGGTTAGGCTCTGGGATTGGTCAACCTTATGGTTGGTGCCCATGAATCAGGCGAAATCTTCCCTCCTCCGCATTGGAGACGCTAGTCCCCTATGCGCTATGTAGTTGGTTGAATTGGAATCCCTGTTGTCACTCAGCAGGTTGATCTAGGCATCGTCCACACCTCATTGCTTCACTCTGGAGACAACTGGAGGAGGCTGCCTATAGAGGATTCGGTATAATGTGGTTTATTCGCCGCTCCTTCGGTGTCCTAATGACCGATATCCTTGTGAAGCTGTTCTTGGCTTTTGTGCAATCACTCTTAAGATACTGCATTCAGGCTTGCCAACCATGTCTTATAAGGGACAAAATGGAGCTGGGGAGGATTTGTGATTCAGTACAAGGTTCGTGCAGGGGTTATCGGCAAAAGTATCCCGAAAATGTGTTTAGCTTTGGTAGGTTCTCAAAGCACTGACGCAAAATCAGGGGAAAACAGACCTTTACTTACCGTATCCTGTAGGGGATGATTGGTCCAGACTTGTCCTGGATATTTAGTCCCGCCAAGCTGCCTAGTCTCCGTTGTCAACCGCTGACACCGCACAAACTGTGTTCCGACCGGGTAAGGGCGGAAACTCGCTTGTCGCACCGGGTTATTGAACTTTGGAACTCGCTTCCGGAGCAACTCGTTTGGGAGTCTATAGCAGAAAGTTTCGAGCGTCAGCTTGATGCCCTTTGATGGCAGTATCAAACCTGCCTCATCCTTGAACCGACTTGTCTCTTCAACCCCGTTCGTTTTTATTTCTTCTCACATCTTGGTATTAGGATTATTTACTTGACATTCCTGCTGTTTTCCCGGCTTACCCTTCACTCTTTCTTACTTCACATAAACAGACCTAGCAGGGACTACTAGGCTGGAAACTGTGGACAGTAATTGATTGGACAGTGGGTGATGCAGTATTTGTTTTAGGCTTTCAACCTCTCGAGCAGATCTGCCAATTCCCGTTTCAACGACACGCAAAAGAAAGGATATTCGCGGGGTTATCCTATCCTTCTGGTCTCAACTGCATTTGAACTTGATTCGTTTACCACCATGGTAGATAGGGCAGCATCAGACTGGACGAAAAGTAGTCTTCGTTTGTAAATATTCTACTCGTGACCCCGTGTTGAGGTATTCACTTTGAGTCGAAGGAATCTTTGTAGGTCCTTCCCAAGTTCTCCCCTTAGGTTCGGGGACCTTCCGCTTATGATGCGGACCAGTATTCTCGCGCACTTTGTCATTCTCTGTTGATGACGGTGTGAATTTATACTGTGTACACGAGTTCGCTACTGATTTAGTAGTCCGTCCTGCCCCACTTTGGTAAAAGGGCATTATATCAACTACTTTTTGTTAAGTCCAAATTGATGCACGCATGTTATTTTCGGTGCTAACATATTCTGCTTTTGTTAATTGCATTGTAAACCATTGTACCGTCTACAAATAAATTCATCCATTTCTCATTTTCTCTGTCTTGGTATTGCGGCCTCCAATCTCTGACCGACATGCTTTTGTACGCTGGCATTGCCGGATGCTCTTATTATGTTCCCAACTTGTCGGGTGAAATGCAATATGATGCTTTGGGTTAATCGTTCCATGTAGTATGCACCGGTCCCATTCCAAAACAGTATACTTCTCTGTAAGCAACGAGGGCTGGCTTCGTTGCTGTCATGAAGGATAGTTCGGTGGTTTGCAGACTGGCAAAAATGGGACACGTATTGTCTTGGTTGGTCTATGCATTGGATGGGAAAATGGATAAAGATGCAATACCCGCTCACCCACCCTGGTACGCTTACAGTTTAGTGCCACTACAGCATCAAATGATCAGGGCAAAGCCGGTTTACCTGCGGAACACTATGCAAGGTCAATTATTCGTGCTTCTCCGTTGCCAGCTATAGACGTAGAAACTGACTCTCGTAGGTTACCACCTGAGGTTTTTGCATCATAGGCACAGGTATTGATGCCTCTGCATGAAATACATCTCACTAGAGCTGTCGGGATGGACTACGTGCAGTGCCCAAAAAGATAACTGCTAGCTTTCATGTACAGTTTACTTGTTGACCGGTTGTAGTTTATTCCTTCTTGTTTTAATCTTCCTTACAACCGACCAGAGACTGGATCGCTTTGAAAGTTCCCGCGAGGAAGGGCTAAGTTCTGTATTGGCGGGAAAGGGTTTTGCTTCCGCTGTCCTCAGTGACATCCAGGATAGTTTGAATGGCTACTTTGTCCATTCTTATTTCTGGTGGCATTACGGTGTGGAAAAGGAAAGATGATGGTAAATGGATTTGCTGCTTGAGAACTGTTATGATAAAGTAAAACGACGACTACAGATGTAGTTGTAGGTCACGGCGTAGTCGAAAACAGGCAAATGGTAAATACAGGTGAAGTGTGAACGGATGCTTTAAGGAGTATATAAGTGTTACTGTCATTGCTTCATGTACGCACAGGTTATGCCTGCATGTAGCAACTGGTAAAAGTAACTTACTTCCTTGAATATGGGGTATTCATATCTCCTGTCTGATTATTGTTTGTGTTGCGTTTTTTGAAACCACGATGAGAGACGGCGCTTGTTATCCAAAGTTGTAGTACTAGTAATGCTGAAACAGAGGAATCAATAATTGCACGGCAGGGGTACTTTGTTGTTGGAAGGCGTGATGTCATTGAAATATTTTATGGTCCAATAAGGGGAACATTTATGGAAGTGTTAGAGGGGATGGGTGTATGTTAATGAAGGATGGCAATGTAAATGATTATTGAAAGGTATACCTAACGAATCAATCAATGTGCAATGGTAATAGGTAACGCTGCAATCTGAGAGGTGTTATTTAGATGATAAGTGTATTGATAAATTTAAGGACATGTAACTGAGTGGACGCAAGTATGCAAATGTAAAAGGAATGCAAATACCAAATATGAATCAATATGTTTATATATATGTTTATATATCTGCAAACATAAATGCATATATTTATCTATATATGTGCAGCATTAGCTGAACATTTACTGAAATGATATGGTTAATGTAATGGTTTGTATTTACAAATATATGCCGGGTGGGTTATATATATATGTATGTATGCTGAGGCTGACGTTGCATTCCTGATGCTTCTTCCCCGCAGTTGGGCTTAACAAACTTACACGTAAACTAGGTCTTTTTAAGCTGCTAAAATTGCATTCTATTTTATTTGGTTTGTTCTGCCCACATAAATACTCTTCTATTAACTGGCCACGTTGCTTACATTAATTGCGCTTATCCTCGGTAAGTTTGTTGTGTTTTGTAGCATTTTCAAGCAACCTGTGAACTTTATTCCTTATCGCGGATTCGTTGCCAACCAACTTACATCACATGCTTATTTAGCTTAGAGTTATGCCACCGTATCTGTATGCATTATTGGAGTTGTTTTACGTCATCCTGTCTTTCCAGGTGATTGGCTGTTGCTTGATATCCCTGGGGTGGCTGAACTTGATGTGCATGTTGACAAGGCGCTTAACTCTCTATTACCCACCACCTCTCCCATCCAGGTCTACCTCAGCTGCAACAAGTAGAAGGCTGAAATGGAAGTGGTGAGGTTTATAATGAGTAACACACACAAAGTGACCCGACACAAACAACAACTGATCAGCTGTAGTATCGGCCTCCACTATAACTAACCAATATTTTCGATAGCGTTAGTCGACTTCTATACCGTTCGTTTCTGGTCCGTAGAACAATGGGTAAAATATCAAGTGTTTGCCAAGTCCCGTGAGATGGCCAGAATGAGAACCAGAAAATGGTGAAAAGTAAACATGGTGATACAATGAAAAGCCTCTTAGTGGAGTCACCATAGTGTTTGTCAATGAGGCATGCGTAAAAGCGCCAGTGTCGATTGTTTAGAGCAATGCTGCTTTATGCTCCGTTTGCCACGTTATATTGTCTGACGATGTGCACTGGCTAAATCACGTAATGTAGGTGGATTAGGGCACCGTTAAGGTGTTTTTCAAAGACAGACAAAGTGGGGGTAAAAACAAGCTAATTAAAAACAGCGGAGGGAGCAAACATTTCGGTGACATTTTAGTCGACTGTAATGCGTTGTCTACTTGAAATGGTGGCCCCTCAGGTTCGTAGAGTTGCTACGTTGCAGTAGGTAGCGTCAGAAGTGGTGCGGGTTGCTCAGAAGCTGGTAGGGCATTATTAGGTCGACATGTAGGCGCCGATACTGACCGCTGTATACTCTTAGAGTACTCAGTATAAGGTGGTATGGACGAGGAAACAACTCTTTGACGTTTTTGTTGCCTCCTCGCTGTGCAGTACCGAGCGCTGCAAGATAGTGCTTAAGCTGCGGCTGCTAGGCCTGGATTGGGTAATCCACATGAGGCCGCACGTATGCGTTCAGCAATTACGAACAGACAGACGGATCAAACTGCCCGAATGTACTCCGCAGCATGCTAACATATTGGTTCCCAGTCTTTGACCCTAGGTTAGAATATGTTGAGCAACCCAGATCAGTCTGACTTAGTACCCCAAGATCGCGCTCCTCAGTGACTGCTTGCATGACATGATCTCCAAGCACATATTTGATGTTCAGCTAATGCCAGATGAGGATTACCTTAAAATCGGGTGAATTAAACGCACGCAGATTGTGCGAAGAACATCTATAGGCAATGTCCAGGTCACACTGAAGTACATCGTTATCTCATTGCTCGGTGATCGCCTGCCAATGGTTTAACATCACCAACAAAATCTAAGAAACCCAATTCGATTAAAGGTGCAAGCTCGTTAGTGAACAAGTGAAACAGACGTGACCCTAGCACTTGCGGAACTCCACGCAGAAGTGTGGCTTCTTTCAAATAAGGACAGAACATGGGTGGAGGGGAATTTATCCGTTATTTACGCACGTAAACTACACGGCTACACTGGGTACACAAGCCCAGGTCATGGTCCGCTTGGTTACACTGTTATTCACACACAAGACAGCCAGTAGCACGTGATGAAAAAGCACAACATTTATCCGCAATCATGAGTGCCGAATTTGTTATAACGTTGCTTCCAGATGAAGGCAATGAACAATTTAAAATCGAGTATATATCACGATGTCAATTACATACATAGCCACATGATCTAAGCCACCTAGTCGGCGTAGCGTTCAATGTCTTCAAGGTAAATGGGGCACGAGATAAGCCAAACGGCATCCTTTCAAATTGGTACTTCTTCTCGTCAAACTCAGATCTCAGTTTCAGTACCGAAAATGTAGTGAAGTAAAGCAGTTTGTCAGTGTCTGCGTCTGATGGCACCGAGACGAAACGATACAACGAAATTTCACTCAACCCTCTGAATTTGACGCAGTAGCAGTATTTCACGCTGGTTTCATTTATCAAAACAAGTGGAGAATTGTATGGGCTGTACGCCACCTCGACCACATCCTCATCCAAATATCGCCTGCAGCTGCTCTTCACCTCAGCCTCCAGCCGAAGTTGTAAGTGGACCTAACAGTATGCTTTGACCCCTCCCCCCTTGGCAGTGGAATTGAGTGTTCCATCCAGCCACAAAACCCATGCGGAGTTCCGGGGGCTGTAAACAAGTGATACTTTCTGATGAGCGGCTACTAGACCGGGTTCACGTGCAAAACGACGCAACCGAGTGCACGTGGATAATCCCGCCAAGGCCAATAAGCGGTAAAGATCCGTTTTCAGTCAATAGCTTCTTCGTTACAAGTTGACAATGGCCTGTTAGAATCAAGGAAATCCACCCCCAAGATTCTCTGTCCTACGTCTGGCGACACGATGGACGCGCCTTCCGATTCCCATGATATGTCCTGCCACACTATTTATGCACACTGTATAACCACCAACATCGCTCACGACTACAGAGAACGATTGGTTTATCGCCCCTACGATTACTTAGCAGGGAAACTGCGGCACTCGTTTCAATCAATCAGCTTTCCATTATGCAGTCCAATCCCACCATCGCCCTTAGTAGGCATCCATCGACCTGAGAAAAAGATCGAATGCGTATAATTGGTATGGGCGGCGCCTCGGGTCTTGCTGTGCATCGTAGCTTCCGGTGTTGAAGATTTTCTGTGTTATTCTGCCTACGGTGTCGTAACTGCGCTGTGAGAGTTTTCATCCGCTGCCTAACACTCAAGATGCACCAAATAACACCGCAGATTTGATAGTTGCTATGTTAAACATACTACTCACTAGTAGCTCAATTTGTGCGCTCCAAATCAGCATCGACAAGAGCGCGTGAGAACGAGAGGACGACGCTCACGCACTACAACCCAGATGTACAATAGACAGATCAAGCTGGAGCCACATGATATGAAGAAGCGACAACCTTATGATGTCTGCGATCCCGATAAGATAGGCATGAGAAAATTCCTACTACAACTACACATTCTGCTTCTGCACAGCACCAGTATCAAATAATATGATGGGATCCGAGCGTCGAAATGCGACGAGCCCAGAGGCGGCATGTCCCGCATCGCCAAACTAAAGAGAGGATAAATGGAAAACAAGGAACGTGAAGACGAAAGAGCTAATTAACTTGGAAGAAATGAGAAGAGAAAGACCAACAAATAGAATCAAGAGGTCATACGAACGAGGAAAATCGACTTCAAAGTTGCGCCGCCAGTGAGGTGTTGCCGATCTTTGGGAACCCCGCCGGAAACGGACCGACTAGTGTTCCCGGGTTCATCCTTTAGGTTAACTTAGTTCTCGTCGAAAATGTGTATTATACAGTGAACATCAAAAATGAGTTGGAAAATAGCTAGCAGTCAGTCCGAAGATCCCGTTTCATAAGAAAACAAGCGGTGGTCGCGGAAAGTAAGACAGTTAGAATATTGCGTTGAATAGCGTCATTAAAATTCCCATGACACTTTGCATCCAACGAGGGCCATAACGCACACCAGGAGAAAAGCAGGGTGGACGCAGTCTGCACAAATAACGAACGTCGTCATTTCTTTACGGTTAGAATGGGACGCGTTGTACTCATTACGACAACATAATCCGAAAGACGGGTTTGGGAACACACCAGAATCAAACGAAGTGAAGGTGCGCTTGTAAAACTTCGAAGGGTAGGTGTTGCCGGTGGAATATCGCTTTGAAGCATACAAAAACAAGGGATTCCCAACAACTTGCGTTTTCAACCACTTGGTCGAACTCACTTGGACGCTGGGACATGTGTCTGTGCAACACTGATGAATGGGCCAAGTCTATACCATATCAAAAAAGGCATCAGCAGTACGCCGACAGGCAGTACCCACGCTTCGTTGCCACGAGACCACCACCAGTCGCACGCTAGCTAAGCATACTGCGAAGGTCGCTCCGTACCTACGCAGGCTCGAAGTTTGCGAGCGTTAAGGCTACGGGCCAGCCATCACTCCGAAATGGGGCAGTGGGTGCGTGCGATATGATAACAAAAGTCGCTCTCCAAGTCGCGATGATAATATGTTCGCCCTGACTTAGTAAAACAACCATGTCACACGCACAGTGAACACAGTATTGATGAAAAGTGTGGTGTTAACAACTGTGGTATAACGGGATTAACCATAACTTTAACTCCACAACATCATAGGTGATTATTAAAATGCAGGCAGAGGATGAAGCAATAAACGCACTCTTCAAAGTTCATGATACAAACCTCAAGATTTCCGAACTGCTATCCCGCTTGACTAGATAGTGGAAAGGAAGTCATAAATAATGAAGCAAGTTAGCAACGGTACCACGAATTACAAGGGCAAAAAGACAAATCTAAAACTTGATAGTAGAAGGTAATGTGCATGGTTTTGGCGATCGAGTATACAAGACCACAATAAGAGTCACCCCCACGACAACGGGACTTTGCCACTTTATCCTGAAGGTATCAGGTTTCTTCAGATACCATGTCATCGTTGCCTAAGAGCACCAGTAGTATGGAGGTATGTTGTACGGACGGCTCGTTGCCACGTAAGTGCCATGGGTCGAGGTTGGAATAGTACGATGTCACTCACAGGTATGCAACCTCAAACCTGTGACTCATGGATAACAACCAGACGCCTGAAGCGGCACCGGCATGTTTGCAGCGATGAGATGCACAGACGAGTACTTGGGAGAAGTGATCAGGACGGATCGCCGAATCGTTGCGTTGGTCTGGACATATACTACTCCATTCCTTATGGACGGAACTACCTTTTCAACAAACAGAATTGTGAAACACCTGAAGGGAACAACCGTTAAGCCGATAGCGAGAGATGCAGACAATGATAGTTAAATTGAGTGCTGTTGGTACCGTTCGGCATTTCATGCTGGAGTCCACACATAACCTCCAAGTGTAGCCCGAAAGTTTAGAAGATGCGACGTGCAAGCAGCGCCAGCGGCGTTCTCGCTGTCCATCAAGTGTAGCTGACGGATTAGTGCTAAGCACGAAGAAGGCAACTCGCCTATCCTACGCAATAGACAGCCGTATATGACCATGTACCGTTCATAAGGTGTATGCCCGCACTGACCCTGAGTGGAGTGTTTAAGGAGAGTTGGCCGAACATTAGCTTTCGGTTCACTTCGCCTTGATGTTATGAGCAGTTTGACTGCTTTTGC